ATGGAGTAACTGCTGCTGCTACTTTGCTGTTTTGTCTACAAGAAGATCATTCCGAAGATTTTTACTAGCCGAAGAAACCACAAAGAACCCCTATTGAAGAAGTTGATCTTTCCAATGTGCAACTTCCTCGTTAACCCTCGAAGTTGCATCTACAAGGGGAGGCGTTATAGTACAGAAGATTTACCCTACCACTGAAGAAGAGGATCGAGTTTCCTGGATCAGCGCTTTGCCTCATCCAGTATTATTTTATTGTATTCAGAGTTAGTCAGTCTGTTGTTAGCGCTCATACTACATACATCAATAAAATTGTATTTTTGATAATCGAGAATAAATCTTTTAAAAAGCAAGTAGACTGACTCGGTCAGATAATTAGCGTCATAAGCCACCTGTAACTTATGATGTTCACGGAAATAAAACTTATTATAACTTATAAATACACTTCAATCAGTAAAACTATTTATTATAATAGGCAAGTTTCTTCTTATTTGTTGACTTAGCGGAGAGGAAGTTCGTCATTCTCATGACTTCCTTCATCTTCATCTGGGTTTTGTTCAACTAACTCAAAGTCAGGATCGCAACGTTATGGAGTATAATACAAGCAAATTTTCGGCACATTTTCCAACTTTACGCGGCAAACATACTGTAGGATATGAAACCGGCATTTCAGTTGGCCGAAACAGCGTTCAATTATTAAGCATCCCACAAACCGGCGCGAAATAATCGCGGCGAAGTATTCGCAACGAAATTCAGAGCGAAATTCGCAATCTGTTTCGCCTGTTTATTCATACCAAAGCGTCTTATTCGCTCCGCGAACGTGAAGGTTTCGACAGGTTGCGTACATTTTATTTTTGCCTTTTGCAATGAGCTCGTCTTCAGAAGAAGAGGAGGCACTTCTATTTCTTGCTTTAGAAGAGGAACAAAATGCACGGTAAGTTATGTTTATTTAACGCCATTTGATAGTTGGGTATGTATTAAGTTTAACGAAGTACATAAAACAAATATTTTCAATTTTGTTTAGGAAACGAAGGAAGTGGGTACGATATTAACTTGGAACGAAATAAATTTGGGGAATACCATACCTTGATGCCACAACTTCGGCTGGATGAACAGCGCTTTTACGTATATTTTAGAATGACTCCAGAGTGTTTCGATGAAATATTGAACTTGGTGAAAGATGAAATACGAAAATCTGACACAAATTATCGTGAAGCTATTTCGCCAGAAGAACGACTTGCTATTACACTCAGGTAAAAAAATATATGTATTAAAATTAGTAGGCTTATCGAATACGAAAACTTCAGGGATCGTGAAATAAATATTTTATTGTAATAATTGGACTACATGTTGCCACTAGGATTAAATGTTGCTAAATAATTCGAGGCAGAATTTGCCTCCTCTGTTGGGTATATTATTGGAGTAAACCCAGTGCCGCTTGGGAAGGACGACATAACTACTATCATACATACTTGCAGAATTCTGGGTAGACGCTGAAGACATTTCTTCAATATGTTCAAATTCTTCGTGCGCTATTAATTCGGCTATTTTTAGTTTTATTCGGGCTTGACGCTTTAAGGGAAGTGTTTCCACAGTCTGTGCATGTGCCAAGAAAAGTGAATCATGGGTTCGTTCTCTTTTTTAGGTTTTTTACCTTCAAAAATTAATGAGCTGTACAGACGAAGATGGTGGTTCATAGCGTTTTCTGCTCGTTTTATATTTTGGTGTAGTTGCAGTCTGCGGAAAGGTGTGCCATGGAGTAGTCACTGCTGTAGTGTTCAATGAAGAAGGTGGTGCTGTCTGTGTTGCCGAGGCGTTCTGTGCATCTTCTGCATCTACATCAGCATTTTCATCTTCTCCATGGCCGCGTTCTTCCAAATTTTCGGTTTCCTACATTTCAGCCCTTTCCTGATATATATTTGAGTTAAATTCGGCAGTCACATAATGTATGACGTCATATCTTTCACATTAGACGACGTTTTGGCAAATGCCAAAAAAGGACGGAAAAAATTCCATGTAGTCAGCCCACTGCCATTTTTTTATGTTGCCCACTGCTTGGCCGGTCTTTGGTTTGGTAGATTTATATATTTTGCAAATGTGTCTCTGATATTCTTCCACCTTTTTTTACTTCATCACCTAAAAACGATTTTTTTTATAGATTCCTTGCCACTGGTGACACCTTCTATACCATTGGGCATAGCTTTCGAGTTGGCTTTACAACAGTGAGTGCAATCGTAACCGAAGTCTGTGAAGCGATATGCAGACATATGGAGCATATATATTTACCAGAACCAACAGAGAATATATGGAAAAAATGTGCTGAAGAATTTGAAATAGATTGGGATTTCCCAATTGCATTGGCAGCGTGGACGGTAAACATGTAACAATCAAGAGACCTAACAACAGTGGCTCCAATTACTGTGCTATTACATAAATATTCAATAGTACTTATGGCCATTGTTGGCCCGGACTATAAATTTATATGTGTTGATATTGGTGGTTTCGGAAAAAATAGTGATGGGGGTATTTTCGAAACCATCAAACATGGGAAAAAACGATTTGAATAAAATTTAATGTGTCCCTGCACCTAGATTTCTCCCTGGGCAAAATGAAATCTGCTCGTACGTCTTAATTTGTGATGAAGCATTGCTTTTAAAACCATACCCTTATGAGACCATTTCCTTATAAGCAGACTTTAACAGACGTCAGGAAAGAGAAATACAATGTAAGACTTTGTCGAGCTAGAAGGGTCGTGGAAAATGCGTTGGTATTTTGTCTCAAATAGGCGAATAATTTTACAGGCCATTAGAAACTAAAGTAGATCCTACTATTCTAATTGTACGTAGGCATGTGTGTTACACAAGTTTTTACGAAGTAAAGGGGGCGATGACAAATATTTTCAATTCTTAGATCCCCCAGAACCCGTGCTTGGAGCTTTTACTGATATAGCAAATGATCCTCGGCGAGCAGCAAGGCTAGCATTTTGTAATCGTGACAAATTCGTAAAATTATTTTAATTCTGATATGCCTATGCCAATATATAGAATGTTCGTTTTCACATTTGTGTAGACTGTAAATTATTTAACAAGTTAATAAAAAATTTAGGTACATACCATTTGTATTTAATTCTTTTCCTATTTCCATCCAAATCTTGTCTTTCTTTCTCACATTCCTGTATTCATCGTTCGACAAATCATACAAACAAGGATACTTTTTCACTATTTCTATCAATAATTCCGTTTTTGCCATTGCGAATTTTTGAAGAACGGCGTCAAAAACGCGGTCAAAGGCGAACTGAAATACGCCGCGATAAAAACGCTGGAACAATCGCATTCGCTTCGCACAAGTCTGAGCCTGTCCGTAAACCGCTTTAACTGTTTTAATCTGATCGCGAATTCATCGCCGCGAAATTTTCGCAGCCAAAGCGAATATTTCGCGCCGGTTTGTGGGATGCTTAACTCTTTCTTGTTTTAAAGCTTATTATAATTTATTTGTGCACCTGGAGTAGGATTTCTGAAGGGAGTCATAAGGCATGGCTCAATACCATAGCAGTCATCGCCAAGTAGTACAACATTTGCTTTATTTATTAGTTGAGATCTAGTCTGTGAATTTCTCCATAAATCATGCACTGATCTAGGCCAACTGACATCAACACTTGTGAACATCTCACTGGCATCACAAGTGGCTTGCACATTTAAAGTAGGTTTTCCTTTCCGGTTGATATACTCATCTCCATGGCGATGTGGTTTCAGGATTCCTATTTGTGTACAATCAGATACACCAATTGCTGTCGGAAATTTATACATGCTTTGCCATATCCGCTTGGCCTCCAACAGTTCATGGTTGGTAGTTGTAAACTTGATCCATTCGTTCGACTGTGCAGCTATGGTGTTCACAACTCTATCCACAGTCCGAGATACCGTTGCTTGAGTAACACCAAGTTCCTGACCTTGTTGATATCCAGGGTAACCGAGATAGCGTAGACATATCTTCATTTTATGAATACATGAAAGTGCTACTCCTCGAGCTTCCTCATTCTCAACTAAAAATGTGTCCGCAAGCCATTGTACATTTACTTCGTCGAACCGATATAATTTTTGAGGTCACGACCAAGTGTAAACGAGGTTTGTACGTTTTAACCCTCCATCGCTCGCACCGTTAGAAAAATCTAACATTTTTTGAAATTTTTCTCATAAATTTGAAATTACGCGGTTTAGCAGGCGCACCATCTAGGAATACTCCTTCAAACTAATCTACTATGTGAATCTGTGGTCGTGGGGGGGAGCTATTTTGTTCTAGTGCCGCAATCGCATAATGTTAGTTCCAGTCTAGCACGCGAGTGATGGCGTTCGGCCGCGGGTTAGATAAAATCTAACGACGCGAGTGACGGCGTGTGTAAAATTTTCGGATTCTGGATAAACTATCCTTAGTAAATTTGATATAACTAGTGGCTCGGTAAGTTTTATTGTTTTATTAATTATTTTCAACTTATCAAATATCTTTTTTCAGTATAGCCATGGATGAAAAAATTCAAAAGCAGTGGATGCAATGGTATGAAGAGATTCAGACCGACGAAGAGTTGGTTGGTTCCGATAATGATCTGAGCGATCAGCCTTCAGAGCATAATGAGTATAACACAGATACAGAACAGTCTGGAGATGAAACAGTTGGGATATTTCCTGAATCTCCAGAGATCTTGATTGATGGTATACCTAAATTTTACGGAAAAGATAAAACACCTTGGTTCAAACAAAAACCACCTGCACCCAAAGGCAAGACAAAAGCCCATAATCTTGTTACAAAACTTCCTGGAGTAAAAAGTTATGCAAAAAATGCAAAAACCATTATACACTGCTGGAAGTTGTTTGTTACAGATACGATGATAAATGATATTGTAAAATATACAAATCTGAAGTTAGATTTGATGAGAGAATCTTATCAGCGCCCCCGAGACTGTCCTCCAACTGACTATGACGAAATGCTAGCATTTACTGGAATCCTTTATATGGCTGGCGTAAAGAAAGCCCAACACCTCAACCTGAAGAAATGTGGAAAACCGATGGTACAGCACCTGACTTCTTTATCGCTACTATGTCCAAAAAAAGTTTCATCAGTTGATTCAATCTATTAGATTTGATGATGCCACCAAACGACATGAGACTTCTAAAATTGATAATCTAACTCCGATTCGCCAATTTTTTGAAACATTCGTAACAAATTGTAAACAAGCTTATTCTCCGGGATGTTACGTAACAATTGACGAAATGTTGGAGGCATTTCGGGGCAGATGCCGATTTAGACAATACATAGCCAACAAGCCCGCCAAATACGGCATAAAGATCTATGGATTAGTAGACGCCAGAACATTTTTTACATCAAATCTTGAAATCTACGCGGGTAAACAACCAGAGGGACCATTTCAACTAAAAAATGACGCAGCGAGTGTTGTATTGCGACTTATAGAGCCAATTAGTGGTACAGGAAGAAATGTAACCACTGACAATTATTTCACCTCAGTGCCATTGGCTAATACACTGGACAACAAATTTTAGTTTTTTAATTGTATCTTGTGGGAAAAGTGCACTTCTTTGTTAATTTTGGGGCGCTGAATCCAAAAATGACAATGAAATAAAAAAATTAGTTGTGGTTTAGAAAAAAACTTTTATTTTTAAGGATATATTAAAAAAAGTAACAAGATTCACTATATGCGCTGTCTTTTTGCTGTTCTTTTTATGGATCGTTTTTGGAGCATCTCTACCAAGAGTCCAACAGTAGTCTGCAAGCATGGAAGGATTCCACTTTCCCTGGTACCTTTTTTCCATTGTTGAGATATCCTGATGAAAACGTTCGCCGTGCTCATCACTTACGGCTCCGCAATTGTCAGGAAAAAAGTCCAGGTGTGAGTGTAGGAAATGTATCTTAAGAGACATATTACACCCCATCTTTTGATACGATGCAGCATATTTTTGACAAGGGCTTTATAGTTGTCAGCTTTTCTATTTCCCAAGAAATTAGTGACCACCAGACGGAAATCATTCCAAGCAGTTTTATCAATACCTGTTTTGTTTTCAAACTGTGTATCTTTCAAAATATTTCGAATCTGTGGCCCAACAAAAAACCTTCTTTAACCTTTGCCTCACTTAGTCTTGGAAATTTCTGACGCAGGTATTGAAAAGCTGACCCATCTCTATCTAATGCCTTGACAAAGTTTTTCATTAGGCCCAACTTGATATGCAGTGGTGGTAATAAATTTTTTTTCGAATCTACTAAAGGCATATGCTGTACATTTTTTGACCTGGCTCTAGGAATTGACGAACAGGCCAGTTTTGTCTGGTGTAATGAAGTGCCTTTGCCCGACTGTCCCACTGTCCCATTCACACAAAAAACAGCAAAACTTTGTGTAGCCTAGCTGCAGCCCAAGTAAAAGTGTAACAACTTTCAAATCGCCACAAATATGCCATTGGTGCTCATCGCATTTTATGCATGTCAATAGGTACTTCATATTGTCATATGATTGTTTCATGTGAACTGCATACCCTACAGGAAGAGATGGTAAAAATTTCCAATATGCAATAACACTGCCTTTAAACTCAATGTTGAACTGTCTATAAACAATCTCCATTCTTCTGGGTTATAGTTTATATTTAAAGCCGCCAGTAAGCCGTTAATGTTACTGCAGAAAACCAAGTTATTCTCCATATTGAAAAATGGTTCTAAGTCTTTGTGGCGTTTACGAAAAACACATACCGAAACATCGTCTTCTAACAAGTTCCACTGCAGTCTTGATCCAAGTAACTCTGCCTGTTACATTTTGTTGTTCTAAATCTCTTACAAGATCATTTAATTCTGACTGTGTTATTTTGTGCGGTTGGTGGCATGACGTGCTCGGTATAAAATCAGGATCTCTTGACGTTGATGGCATATCTTTTTCATGACGAATCACTCGATCGCCATGATCTGATTCGTTTCTGATTCGCAAGTGTAGGATTCTGGGGGTTTTAGAATAGGATTTTCGTCACTGTGAGGCACAGGTCTCATCGCAGATGGTACGTTTGGGTAGTTAATAACCGATTTTTTTTTCTTGGACATACCTGTGGCTTGTCCAACACAAGGTACCATGCAAAAGTAACAATCATTAATATGATTGTAGGCTCTCTCCAAACCATTGGGACAGCAAAGCGCATAGACCGCTTTTTGCCATTTAACCAGCTCCTCAGACTTGAAGCACATGTATTACAGCAGATGTGGGGTGCCCACTGTTTGTCTTGATCACATAGTTTACAACCGAAATAAAGCTAATATGACTATGTTATTAGTGGAGTAATAGACCGTCTCTGAGACGCAAAAGTCACATCACCACACACGTAACAAAACTGATCTGGATTGTTTACACACTTTCGAGACATCTTGCATGAACGCTGTCAGCCAACTGAGGAAAAATGGCTAATATAAAACAATATAATGTACACGTATGTATAACGTAACACAATCATGCCGATTACATCATCTTTCCTTGCCGAATATAAAAATGTAGCACGTGCATCCTTGTGAATTACAGTATATTAACACTGTCACAGCAGGAACACATATAATTACCGTATCTCTAAAACTTGAACTAATATTGAAAAAATAAGTTTCATTCCGGTTTTAGCACATTAAAAATAGTAATATTTTGTTGATTTTATTTAGGATATTTTTTGGCTGTTGATCAGTGTAGCTTATTAGTAAACCATCGACTAACTACAATAGGAACAATGCGCAAAAATAAGCCTCAAATTCCTCGAGAACTTCTAGATGTGAAAAATAGACCAGTAAAAAGCAGCCTGTTTGCATATGGTGAAGACTCGAATGAAAACCCCAATAAGCGCCTTCTTGTTTCATATGTACCAAAGCGAAACAAAAACGTGCTGTTATTATCAACCCTGCATGATGATGGTAAGGTCGACGATGACACTGGAGATGCTTTCAAGCCCGAAGTTATTACAGACTATAATCTTACGAAAGGAGGCGTAGATGTGGTCGACAAAATGAAATCTGAATATTCAACAGCACGATTCAGTAATAGATGGCCATATACCGTATTCTGTGGGCTTCTGAATATATCAACCACCAACAGCCAAATAATCTATCGAGAGAACACAAACAATATTATTACCAGAAGATAATTTATATCGGAACTTAGTAAATTGCTTGTCATGCCTCACCTGTACAGACGTTCTCAGATTCCAAGTCTGCCTTATCTACTTAGTCAAAAGATTAGAAACATAACTGGAGAAAGACCACCCCAAATAGAGACCAAGCCACTCAAGCCAAAGTGAAATGTGAATTCTGTCCATTGTGAAAAACAGGTTCACTCAGAGAAATTGTTCAATCTGTAGATCACCGATATGCAAGGAACATACAGCAATAACTTCATTGACCTGTCGTGAATGCTATGGACGTAACGAGAATGTTTAAAGTGCGTAAGTGTTTTGTAAAGCATTTATGTAAACGCTTTCAATATACCCTGCATTTATTTTTTAGGGTTTCCTTCAGCTCTAAAGGATTCCAGAATGAAACATCAGAAGAAGAAACCTTCAGTTCAGAAATTTTAGATGAAGAATTTTCAGTATTTCGTTAGTATTTTTGTTATAGTTTATAACAATAATTTTTAATGTATAGCTTAATAGTATACTTGACAATATAAACATTTAATTAAAGTAAAAATAGCTTTTTTATTGAACATCTGAATGTTAGATAAAATCTAGCACGCGAGCGATGGTGTAATAGAATGAGGCGCGAGCGATGGAGGGTTAACATCCCTAACATCCACAATTTCCGCCATCATCGTTTGACCATCTTTCGTTACGAAGTTGAGTCTACGACTGCCCACACTCAGAATTTTTTAAGGATATGCTTTATGCAGTATAAGTGAAGATTATAAATATCCTTTTACTTATGTCACTGCTTTGGAGGATATGCTTATACTCAAATAGCAAAAGCATTTACTTGAAAT